AAATCTATGAGCAACACTTCATTTTCCTTTTTCTTTTTCACTACTATGTCTGGTCTATTGTGTTCTAGTCTTTTATCAGTTACTAGCGTGTACCAGCGACTTCGTTCGCGTCGAATGAATCATTGGTAATGGTGATGATAAAGCAAAGCAAGAATTTCCATTAACATACAAACTGGATAAAATTTTCTCACATTTATATCAGCATGAGAAAAAACAATATGGCGATATTATTATATAACTTGGTAATATTTGAAGGGGTAGTTTCATCTCGTTGGAATTTGACTTTCGAAAAATCCGTTTGCCAAAAATAAGCTTTTTACGTCAAGCAGTTTAAGCAGAATCGTGGTTAAAAAATTACCCAACTTTTTGGAACACCCTGTATAATTTTGTAAAAAATTTCAAAATATGTAAAAAAATAAATAAATTATGCTTGTCCAAGCGTTTTCCCGAAAGACTAACCGTTTTTTTAAATAACAAATATTGTAATATTTGAGGGGCGTTTTCACCCTCTTGGAATTTGAGATTCGAGAAACCCCTCCTTATCGAACCTCTACACCCCACAGTCAATCCGTTTGCCAAAAATCAGCTTTAAACATCAAGCAGTTTAAGCAGAATCGTGATTACTCAATGGTCATATTTTATGAAACACCCCCTTATTATATAAACACCCCCAAATTTATAAAAAATCTTAAAATATGTAAAACAACAAAATAAAATATACGTGTTTTTCCGAAAAACTCACCGGTTTTTAAGTAAAAAATATTTTAATATTTGAGGAATAGTTTCACCCCCTTAGAATTCGAGTTTCGAAAAATCCCTTCTTATCGAACCTCTACAGCCTAAAGTCAATCTGTTTTCCAAAAATCAGCTTTTTACGTCAAGCGCTTTAAGCAGGATCGTGGTTAATCAATGACCAGATTTTTCGAAACATCCTGTATACATTTTTAAAAAAATCTTAAAATATGTAAAAAGGCGAAATAAAATATACGTGTTTAAGCGTTTTTTCGGAAACTTGACCGTTTTTTAAATAAAAAATATTGTAATATTTGAGGGGTGGTTTCACCCTCTTGGAACTGGAATTTCAAAATATCCCTTCTTATAAAATTTTTACAACCTAGAGTCAACCTGTATGCCAAAATTGAGCTTCTTACGTTGAGTGGTTTGAGCAGGATCGTGATTAATCATTATGTCAGTCATTTAAGGATTTTATATATTAGTATAGATTGATATGGAAAATGTCATCGATCGTTATTTCCCAGCCAACTGGACGCCGTTTTTTTTTCGATCATACGGTATTTAAAGTTTAAAGGGCGATTTTCACAAATCTAAGATCTGTCAGCATTCATGGGACATAAGGTACAGACATAGGGTACAGAGGAGAATAATAGTAATAGTTATTAATAGAATAATAGATAATAAACATGTATTAAAACAACTTTCGTTGTACGTCATCAATGACACCATGCGTCGTCTTATGGAGTTTGCTGGTGGTCGTATTATGATGTGCAACCAAAGATATTTTAATTTCTCTATATTTATTTTTAATATAAGTGCTAAAAGTGGTATTTTATTTTGTGAGAAGGGAAGCATCCCTTCGAATATAAAATCATTTATTCAAAATAAAATCACTTTTAGCACACATATCATACACTATTTTTTTTACAAACAAGTATATGCTCGTATATATCAAGGTATTATTACTTTTTACGTTAATGAATAATTCATAATATGTCATGCTGAAATCAAATTAATTATGAAGTTTATGGTTGCTAGGGTAACAATTATCGCTTCAGTGTTAAAAAGTAAATCACGTGACTTAGTTTTCGCACCAGTGCTAAAAGTAAATGACTTTTACCATCAGTGACATAATGTCACATTTTAGGCACTCGCATCGGCGTCCGTTTGTTGTTCATCGTTCCGTCAAACCAATAAAATTGAAATACGATCTGTCATTTTTGAAATAAACCAATAAAACTGGTTAAAAACAACAAGAGACGACGTATGACGGATTTATATTTAAACCCATCTATAGTTAACTTAAAAATTATTAGAAACTTTTTTTAGTAATTAATAAATAAATGTAATTAATAAAATAAAATTAATTATAAATAGATTGGTATGGGACGTCACCTGCTTTTCTTCTGTCATCGTCTGTCGAAATCTTACCTGAGAAAAAAAACAGAGTATAGTAATTGTTAATTTTGTAGTTTAACTTGATATAATGTCATTTTAACAGAACGTCAATGGTTTTTATAGATGTATCTGTTCAAAAAAAAACTAGTGTTCTTGAATAGTTGTATTTAGATATTTTAAATAGTTTTTCCTTGTTTTTTTTATGATTCCGACGATGGGAAGAGATATACTTCCCGAATGGTTAAGCATTTTTTTGTCCGTTAGGCAAATTTGTTTATTAGTAAATCACTGCTGATAAGTTGTAGCTTCGGGTAGATTAACGCCAGCAGTGTTTACCAAAAATTACTATTTTATTTTGTAATTTTTCTTACAGTGCAAGTGGTGACATACCCATAGAACTTTTTCGAAGAGATGGCTAAAGAGATCCGCCACAGAGAAGAGATTGACATTTTTATTATATTTAATTTAGTTAATTAAAAAAAAAAAAATGTATGTCTTTATCTAAAAGACGGGTCACAAGCACACTAAATATAAAAAATTGGCGCTGGGGGGCACGTATAGCCGCCCATACTAAAACATGTTAATAAAAAGTTGGTAGGCAGTTTTTTTAGTTTCAAAGTAAAGAAACTTTTCCAATTTTTTTTATCTCAAAAACTGCGACTTTGACTGATTTTGATGTTATTACAAATTTTGTTGCAAATATTATTCCTAATCTTAAATTGAAAACCGCGTTTAGTTAGTTAGCTACTGTAATTTTGGAGTTACGATTTTCTTAAATTTTTAACCCCCTCCCATATTCCCTTACCAATCCCCCAACCCCACCAAAAACTAATGGCCAGATTCTCGGGTGCCACAGTATTTTTGTGTCAAATTTATTTAAAATCGGGTTAGCGGTTTTTGAATTGTCGTGTTACAGACAAACAGACGGACAGACGGACAGACGGACAGACCGACAGACATACAGACACCATGAAAATATTTTGTATTTAGGTCATTTATGACCCAAATAACTCATTTTGAGTGAAATTAAAAAAACTTTTTTTTTGCCGATCTTAATATATACCATACCTATTGGTATGGTCGGCTAAAAATGCACATACATTAAAAAATGATTAATTATCTTACTAAACTGTTATTTTTGGCGCAGAATTGAAAAATTTTCAAATACCGCCAAACCTACAAAATGTGTTTAATTTTTCCTGTGGAATCAAATAACGAAAAAATATGTCAAATGTCAAATTGGCAGCCAATTCTTGTTAAACCGACGCCGACGCGACGGTAGCAAGGAGAGAGGTGTTTTTAAAAAGAAAGTACATCTAAAAATATCCAAATCTAAATTAGATCCCTCAATATTTTAATGAACGAACTGCGGTGAAAAACCGTGTAAAATTTCCATAATTATGGCAAGCCAGTTTTAAAAAGTTAAAGTCCTGTTTTTATTACCCAATTTTTCGGCCTAATTTTTGGCAACACAATCTATCAAGTAAAAAATTTTGCCTTGTTAGGTTAATTTTAAAACTTGAATGCATCACTGAAAAAAAATATAAGTAATTTTACAAAAGAAATATTGATACATTAGTATTTATAATAAGAAACTTGTAAAAATAAGATATTTTTTTACATAGTTTTACAAAAAAATGTAATTTTCCAAAACAGTTTATTAATATTAAATTAATATTCCTAAAATTATATTGTTTTCACAATGAGTTTTATGAGTTTTTAATTAAATTTAAATCAGAAATGCAATCTTGTGGTAAAATTGCATGTCTCTAGAGATATTCATAAAACTTGTATAAATTTACCATAATATACAGGGTGTCCCAGAAATAAGTGCAAGTATTTTAAGGGGTGGCAGGTGGCAGATCTAGATAAAAGAAACATATTTTCTCTTTATCGTTTTTCAAATAAGTCCAAAATAACGGAGTTGTTTTACTTTAAAAATTTAAAAAAAATGATTTTTTGCTAAAATTTTGAGAACCACTGGATCTTTTCTGGATTTTCTTTCTTATTTAATGTGATACCTACGATGCCATATTATCAAGAAATTATGTTTTTTAACTAAAAACCACTAAAAACTAAAAAAAATTTCAAAAAATTTTGAATTTTCAAAATTTTTTTTTCGCGAAAAAACCCCCACGTAAAGCGAAATTAGAACAATTTTGGGTGCATCATCAATGACACCATGCGTCGTCTTATGGAGTTTGTTGGTGGTCGTATTATGATGTGCAACGAAAGTTATTTTAATTTCCCTATAGGCGTGTTTCTGGGGTTGAACTATACTTACCAGTTAAAATACTTGCACTTATTTCTGGGACACCCTGTATTTAGTAAAAAATGACGCACGTGACTTCTTATGAAGCTGATGCGTATTAACACGTATTAAGTAATCGATTGAAAACGTAGTTAGAGGAAAGACGAAGAACATCTAAGAGGTTTTTTGAACAGGTGGGTAGTCTCAGTGCGTGGATGATTAGTGTTTTTATAATTTAAGGGTATAAGTATGTTTTATGAATTATGTTTATATGTAGCTTCTGTAAATGTAAAGTCAGCTCTCTTAGAAAACACAATCTCCATTTATTATAATTATTTGCATTTTAATTTTACCTATTTTTTATGTAAACATAATTATTCCATGATCTCTCTACAGGGTGGTCCGAACTGTATTCCGGAAACTTTGGCAGCATATGCTTTTATGCAGCATGAACCTTCAATGTTTTTTTATAGATATTTTGTTTTTAATTTTTATGACTTTTGTAATAAAAATTAAAAACATATAGAGCTATCAAAATAAATTTATCCAAACTCAGCGACCTATTGCAGATATATCTATAATTGAGAGTATAAAATAAATATATATTGGCACTTACCGCCTGATCTAACTTGTATCCAAGATCCTGAAGTATTTTATTTTTCTGTATATCTGGCAACTTTAAACGCTGAAACAAAGTGAAACACCAATTAGTTAAAGTTAAAAATCATTAAAAAACGTAAATCATTTTACAGCCGAAATTCCTGAGAACTATTATACAAGATTCTATAGAAATATTTTCAATAAAAAATAATTTTAATGCATTCGTAATTCCCATTAAAATGTCATTTACTTGATTTTTTTAAGTAATGAAATTGAGGTCATTTGAATATTAGTTTAAACATGATAAGGGAAATGCAAGTTGGAATTACCGAAATAATATTTTTATCCGGAAGCTATTAATTCGGAATGGTTTATTGGAGTAAGTATAATGGAAATTAATAAATCCGAATTACCATATTATATAAAGGTAAACATTACAATAGAACAACGAATACGTAATCAAATTAATCTACGACAATGTCTCATTATGACACATTTAACATTGTCATTTGGATGTCATTATGGCTTTCATAATAGCGCTAGTGCTATTATGAATTCATAATAACACGCAAATTTTAAAATAAGAAACAAGCAAAAAAAGGTACCTGAATATGTTTATTTATTGTAAACATTAATTTTAATATCAGTACAATTATTGGTTAAATTAATTCCATACGATGACAGGTGAGTTGAATTTTTAGAAAGTAAATTTATTTCCTGAGTACTTGAACTTGTTGAAGACCCATCATTGCCAGAAATGTTACCCAAAATATTACATGACACTTTTTTCTTATTTTCTTTGGAATTTTCTATATAGCTCTCTGCCACTGTGTTAGAGCGCCAACCACCATGTCTTTTAACAGTTAATAAATCCACTCCTGAATCTGCAAGCAACGACGCAGACGATCTACGGAAACAATGTCCAGTGTATTGTTGTGGATTAGGAAGACTTAGGAATAAAGCTATTTTATACGGCATTTTCCCTAAAGTATTAATGAAAACGGGTTGCTTAATACATTTTCCATTTCTGTACCCCACAAAAAATCGAGTATGCTCTGTGTTGCCTGGTCGCATAGCTATATATCTTCGAACCATTTCAACCATATTTATTCCTTCAACATTCCCTTTCGTTAAAAAATCTCGTGATATCTTTTTTTTCGTAAATGGAATAATGACATGAATGCATTGTCCTTCATCTTTAACATTGTGCAGCTGCAGATTTGTCAACTCGATACCGCCGGCAGGCTCCCGCAAGTCCCACTATCAATGAAACTTTTGTTGGGCACTCCAACAAATTTCTTAGTGTGTGTAAAAGCCTCCATAACAACAACAAGTCGAGAGTGTCACATCATTGATCACTGAGCGATTCCTTCCTGACAAATACAAGAGTTAGGCAAGGATGTGTCCTAGCTCCTCTCCTATTCAACATATTCATGGCAGCGCTCTCTATTATAGTGGACAACAATCTGCAGGAAAGAGGAATGGGTGTTAGATACATGTAGACGGCGGTCTGTTCAACATAAAAAGACTCAGGGCAAAAATACGTATAAAGCTCATCACAGAACTCCAATACGCTGATGATTGCGCTCTAGTTGCAAATACGTTACAGCAATTACAGGAAATGCTGAACACATATACCTGGGCATACGAGACTTTGGGCCTTAAACTGAACATCGATAAAACAAAAATCATGTGCACTTCCCCGGAAAATCATAACAGCGCTATAAAAATCGGAGAAGAACTAATGGAATATGTATCGGAATTTAATTACCTCGGCAGTTTGATTTCGGAAAAGGCAAATATCGATTCTGAAATTCAGCACAGAATCAGCAGCACCTCAAGAGCATTCTGGAAATTAAAAGACAGGGTTTTCTACAATCATGACTTGAGCACAAAAAACGAAACTTGCAGTGTATCGAGTAGTAATAAATAATCCCCACCATGTTATATGGAAGCGAAACCTGGGTGCCGTACCGCCGGCACAGGAGCGCATTAAACAAGTTGCAACAGAGACACCTTAGACAACTTTTAAGAATCAAATGGTACCACCATGTCTCAAACTTATCAGTCCTTAAAAAAGCAAGCTGCGAGAGCGCTGAAGTCATGATTATTAAATCTCGCTTAAGATGGGCTGGCCACGTATGCAGGATGCAAGAAAACCGCCTACCGAAATCTCTTCTTTACGGTGAACTTGTAGAGGATAAGAGGAAACCGGGTGGACAACTCAAAAGATACAAGGATGTTGTTCATGAAAAATTAAAGGGGATAAGTATGTAGCATAAGTGGGAGGAAGCAGCGCACAATAGAACGCAATGGAGTAGAATTGTAAATTCAGTTAATAACGACAACCAAAAAGTAAAGAGGCAACTAAGTAATGAGATTTTTGAATGTCCGGAGTGCGGAAGAGAGATAACATCACGTATCGGGCTTTTCAGTCACAGAGAAGCTCATGACAGGAAACGCCTTGCGTAACCATCTTTTGATGCGTGTCAAATACTCGTCAGCGAGTAATGGCAGTAGTAGTAGTAGTAAAAACTAGTTATATCTTCTATTCTTAAAATTCTCGATTTTTTTGACCGAAATCCTTCCGATTTTCTTTTTACAAATACAATTAAATGCTTACTAATATTTGTATTTTTCTTCACTGATATAATGAACGTAGCATGGAATAATATACCCAAAGTGATGAAGCCTTCCTATGTTTTGAAAGATTCAAAATATGCCAGGAGAACCTTTTCCTTACTACTATTCTTGATTCCTTTCCCTTTACACCAATCTTCAAGTTTTACATAGGCTTGCTCGTACGTTTGTCTTGATTTTTCGGGAAGTAGAGAATCGACAACGTTTTGCGCAATATGCCTTCAATATCCGAAGGGACACTTTCAGAATCAGAATCACCCATATTAATATTATTTTTTGCTTTTTGCTAAAACTGAACGTTTAACACAAAATTGAACATCAATAATTGAGTTGTCAAAGTCAAAGTGGAAACAATCAACAAGCACGTTTACCACGGCGTCGACTAGTATGGGCACCTGAGAATTTTGAATTTTTTATTTTTATGAGAATATCTCTGATATTTTAAATTAAATCAAATCTCTTTGAATCTCTTTGGTAGTCCCTCGATACGAACTTTTTAATGAAACTTGTGTAACTAACGTTACACGCGTTTCATTATGATGTTCGTATCGAACTTGTATCATTAAACTATAATGTACTCGATTACAATAATATTACCGATTTTTAGTAGATTTATAACAACAAAATAATTAATATGAGTATGCGAATACCTATATAAATCAATAAATGGAGCTTAATAATAATACATACATTCTGTTGCATCGCCGACCTGAATATAGAAAAACATAGGAAATTCCATGTAAATTTTAAAAATAACGACTAAGTTTCTCCCATTTTATTTTACTTGGAGAAATAGTCAAAAACATCGTACCACTGCAGGCTTGGCAACACCAAAAATTATTGGACGGGGGTAAAGAACGTAGGACAAATTTTATACACGTTTAATTATTAACAAGTATAGTTGTATTCATTTAAAACTTCCCAATATGGCGGACTTCAGTATGGGAGGCTTAAAAAACGAAAATCTCTAAACTGGAATCGACTGTACTTCAAATCGTTCAAATTGATAATCTGTGGTAAATCCAATTGAACTCTGACACTTGGCTGTCATTGACGTTTACGGTTCCTTTTTCTAAATATTTTCATTATTTTTTGAGTTTTTATTCACAAATTCTACTTGATTTTGTTCTTTTATTTAACCTGCAACCTGCAGTACTAATTATATAGTTATAAATAATCTTTTCACCGATCAAGAATTGACGAATAGGCTGGAAGATATTCAAAATGTGTAAAACGCTTAAAAACATCTTAGAAAACATTACCTCGTTCACAAATTCGTGAAAATAAATTAGTCCAGATGTTTGTAAAAAGGTCTCTAATTATTTTGAGAAGTTTCCTCGTATCAGTAATTTTCAGGTTTGTAATATGTACTATATGATAATAAATAGATTACAACTTATATTTCAGGAAACAGCGCGGGCATTACAGATTGTTGTAAATCAGTTTTAAAATATAAAGAAGGTTTAAAACAGGTTTAAATGTTGAGTTAGTAGAGAAGACCTAAATAAGGTAATGTTGGTAATGGGACCAAACATCAAATAACACTTGAAATATATAATTATTATGTACAATAATTGTAAGTAGTTTTTATGAATCTGTTTGATATCTATTGCATTGTTTTTATATTTCTTGAAATATATATTTTTTTTTACTTTACAGGATACACAAAGAATAATAAAAAATACAGTGACTCACTAAAAGCACTTAAGGTTTGTAATAGATGTAGTTAGAATATCAAACACCAAACCAAACCAAAAATTATGTTTTATTTTACTGGTATTCCTCACATTTGAAGGGAAAGTCATTTCATAAATAAGCAGGACATTGTATAGTACACTCTATATTAATAATTGTTTTTTATCCTATATTTGTTAGTTAACGCATCACTTACTAGGTATAAAATTTAGTACTGATTAACCTATAGTTGTGGTTGTGATATATTCTGATGTGTTTCTGGCAATTTAAAATAAGTTAATATTTAAACAAACATTACTGGCTTCCCTGACAGGAGTGTGGACACAAATTTAATAAAGGTATAATGTGGATAATGTTCTGATTATTACAGTTTGCATGGATGTTTTTGTATGTTGTTATTTTTAATAAAGTATATTTAATGAGTTTTTGAGTATTTCTTTTTCCTTCAGAGGATTGTTTTCTAATCTTTATATATTATAAATTTTCATAAATTATATCTACAAAATTTATTACCTTATAATTTTTTGCTAAATACTTTGTAGTTGATACAGTTTAACAGTATATAAAAGAACTATTTAAATAAGATTTTTGAAAATATGTATATAGCTGTTTTTGCACACTTCAATTCAATTTGTGATTAACTGTACTGAAATAAAAACAAATTAAGAGAAATGGGGTGATCTATCAACTATAACATGAAAAGCATCATCCTATTTCCAAGTCTTCTATTAATTTCACTTATTAAACAAC